GATTAATTGACGATTATTTGAGATGTTAATTTGTTGAATTAAGTATTAATTGGATGGATTTGATTGTTAATCTAATTTAATCACTTGAATGGTAGATGGAAGTTAATTTGATAAATTAAATATTTTTTTTTTATTTTTTATATACTTTTTTTTTTAATTTTTAAATTTTAAATTTTTATAAATTAAATATAAATCGGATGAAATAAAAAAATTTATTTTTATTTTATACTTTTAAAAAAAATTTAATTTTTATAAATTAAATATATTTTTATTTTATTTTTATAAAAATCGGATAAAAATAATTTTTTTTTTAATAAATCATGATCCCTTGAATGCTGCTTAATCGCTACTTTGATTGCTGTTGGATCCTTGATTCCTACTGAAAGCAACTTGATCCCTTGATCGCAAACACTTGATCACAACTTCATCTCATGATTGCTACCTTGATCGCTCTTGTTCGCAATCGCAACTTCATCCCATGATCGCTACCTTGATCGCTTTTGATGGCAAACACTTGATTGCTACTTGACCTCTTGGCCGCTAATATAATAGATTATGATATTAACCTAAAAGTGGTACTCTTGACCAAAAAAATATAGTAATCTTAACCAAAAAAGTGGCATTCTTAAACTAAACAACGGTAATGTTAACCAAATAAATTGTAATATTATCCAAATCAGTGGTACTCTAAACTAATCTTAACCAAAAAAATTGTAATTTTAACATAAACAGTGATAATGTTAACTATAAAAATGACACTCTTAACCAAATAATGGTGATGTTAACAAAAAAAAGTGGTACTCCAAATAAAAATAATGGTAATGTTAACCAAAAAAGTGATACTCTTAACAAAAAAAATTGTAATCTTAACCCAAAAAGTGGTACGTTTAAATTAAACAACGGTAATGTTAACAAAAAAAATAGTAATATTATCCAAATTAGTAGTACTATTAACCACAATAGTGGTAATATTTATCAAAACAGTGTTAATCTTAATCAATAGAATTGTAATTTTAACCAAATAAATGGTACCTTAACAAAAAAAGTGTAATTTTAATAAAAAAAAATGATAATGTTAACCTAATAAATGGTAATATTTACCAATTAACATGTAATGTTAACAAAAAAGATGTACACTTAACCAATAGAGTGGTAATATTAACCTAATCATTGGTAATGTTAACCAAATGAGTGATACTCTTAACAAACAGTGGTAATGTTAACCAAATGAGTGGTAATCTTAACCAAAACAGTGGTAATGTTAAAAAAAAAAAATAGTACTCTTAACCAAAACAGTTGTTATGTTAACCAAATGAGTGATAACCAAAAAAGTGGTATTTTTAACCAAAAAATTGGTAATGTTAAACCAAAAAAGTGTTAATATTAACCAAAATAGTGGTAATATTAGCCAAAAAAATGGTACTCTTAATCAAAACAGTGATAATGTTATCCAAAATAATAGTACTCTTAACCAAAATAGTGACAATTTTAACAGAAAAGTTGTAATATTATCCAAAACAGTGATACTCTTAACCAAATCAGTGGTAATGTTAACAAAAAAAATGATAATATTAACCAAAACAGTGGTAATGTTAAAAAAAAAAATGGTACTCTTAACCAAAGTAGTAGTAATATTAACAAAAAGAGTGGTACTCTTAACCAGAAAAGTGGTAATGTTAACTTAAAAAGTGGTAATGGTAACAAAAAAAGTGATACTCTCAACCAAAATAGTGGTAATATTAACCGAAAAAGTGGTACTTTTAACCAAAACAGTGGTAATATTAACAAAAAAAATGGTAATATTAACAAAAACAGTTCTAATGTTAATAAAAAAGTGATACTCTTAACCAAAACCAAAAAAATAGTAATTTTGACAAAAAAAGTGACAATGTTAACCAAAAATGTGTATTTATTTATTTTAAATATAAAGTTACTATAATCTCAACTTTAGTTTAATAAAAACCTTAGTTTAATAAATGATGATGATTTAAAATCTCTGGATAAAAATAATTTTGCAACTTCATCTTCTTCTTTATGCTTCTTCTTCGTCGTGTGAGTTTTTTTTTTTTTTTTTTTTTATGAATTTATAATAATCTCAATCTTAGTTTTAATAAATGATGATGATTTAAAATCTCTTTATCTAGGGATAAAAATAATTCTGCAACTCCATCTTCTTCTTTCTCATTCTTCTTCGTCGTCTGAGTTTTTTATTTTTATTTTATGAATTTATTATAATCTCAATCTTAGTTTTAATAAATGATGATGATGATTTTATAATCTCATAGTGATAAAAACAATTCTGGAACTCCATTGATCTTTCTCCTTTTTTTTCCCTGTTTGAGTGATTTTTTTTTTTTAATGAAAAGGCCATCTTCTTGGTCTGAATTTTTTTTTAAAAAAATTTGTAAGACTCGGTAGCCGATAAAAAGTTATAGGCTTGATCAACGGTGGAAGTTCTTCATCAGTTGTGAACCGTTCATTGTTGTTTTTTGATATCATATCGAAGAGTGGATTTTGATACCGTAGTCAAACCCTTTTACTTAAAGACAAAATATGACATATATTATAATTATTTAACTTATTTTCACCCAAAGAATCTATATTTGTTGTTTATTTATTTATTTAAATTTTTTAAAAATAATTCTTAATTATATAGAATCATAACTAACAATATAATTAATATATTAACAATTAATTTTTATACGAATTGTCACAATACTTAACCCTGTAGATATTGTCACAATACTTAACCCTGTAGATATTGTGAAGAACTAATAAGATAAAAACACAATACTCATCCCGTTAGATATTGTGAAAAACTAATAAGATAAAATATTTTCACCAATAACTATCTAGGTATTGCTGGATATTTTTGTTTTCAATAAGGTCAGTAATAAACCTATTTACATCAATTCAGAAAGGCTTTAATGTCAAAATATTTTTTTCCTATCGTGGGTTAAGAGTGTGTTTGAATTGATTTAAAAAAAAATATTTTTTTGACTTTTGACTTATCATAAGTGTTTTCATAAAAAAAAAAAATAGTGTTTGAGTTAACTTATTATAACTACTTTTAAAAAAGTGAAAAAGGGAAAATTTTAACCACACCCCCTGTAGTTTATCATATCTTCAAGGACACCCCTCTAGTTTTTGAATCTTCAATGATACCTCCTGTCAGATTAAAAATATTAAGTAGAATGTAATTTTACTAAATTGCCAATGATATATTTGAGGACAAACTTCATCCACACTCCCTTTAGATAAACATATTTTCAATGAGACCCCTCTAGATAAGTATATTTTCAATAAGACCCGCTCTATTTTTTAATTTTTTTTACGTAATTAAATTCAAATCGATTAAAATTTGATTCAAACTAATTAAAATTTATTTTTTTACATATTAAAATTTGTGACAATTAAAAATTATATTTTTTTTACGCATTAGAATTGGGACTAATTAAAATTTTGTTTGAGCCAATTAAAAATTATTTTTAATCGACTCAAATCAAATTTTAATTAATTCACATTGAATTTTAATCAGCATAAATTTTAATATATAAAAATATATGAATTTTAATTGACTTAAATTTTAATAAATCTAATTTTAATTGACACAAATTTTAATAAGAAAAAAATATAAATTATAATCGACTCGAAAGACAATTTTAATCGGCCCTAACAACTGGGATAGAGTTCAAATCGACTCAAATTTTAATATGTAAAAAAAAATTATAGGCTTGATTTTTTTTTTTTAAATTTACTATTCTCTTCATTCCTAAATATCTGTCGTTTATAATTTTTGCACAGAGATTAAGGAAGTTATTAAATAACTCTAATATGAGTAAAAAATAATTACACAAGACTAAAATACCCTTATTCAATACGTATTGGGAAGGAAAAAAATATGAAAGACACTTAGCCTACACTTAATCTATTAAGCAATTATTGAAAAATAGAGATAAGGGTAAATTTGGAAAAAAAATATTTATTATGCTTTGGTTTCATAAAACAACAGATATTATGGAACAAAAAAAATTGTGTAAAACGAAAGATATTTAGGAACGGAGACAGTAATTAGTAAATAAAAAATTAGTATTTACTAATAAATTATTTACTAAAATTGTTATTTATGATTTTTTTTTAAAATTTAATAAAATTTTATGTAAAAAAATTACTTGAGGTTATGTAGGGGCATTTTTGGTATTTTAAATGAATTTATTTTGTTAAAAATAATAGTTTAATGGTAGGGGTGTTAGTGATGTTTAAATTAAACTAGAAAGGGTGTCATTGAAGATTCAGAAACTAGAGGGGTGTCTTTAAAGATATGATAAATTAGAGAAGATGTCATTGAAATTTTTCCTTAATATTTTTAATCTGATAAGGGTATCATTAAAGATTCAAAAATTAAAAAAAATGTCATTAAAAATATGATATACTACAAAGGGTGTCATTGAGATTTTTCCTAACTTTTTTAGACAAAGTCATCGAGCAATAGCTATCGGTGCCTTTGTTGGGACTGTTTTTGTGACCTTTTGTCTTGTGTTTGATGTGGTATGTTTGGGCTACCAGTACCATGTACTTTTATTGAGGAGCATATTGATTGGATTGTTGGATGAGTATTTTGATTGGATGGTTGAACTAGCATTTAGATGGTTGTCAGTCCATCAATCAAACTTTTTTTTTACCCTATGTAACAATCATCTCTTTCTCTCTCAGATTTCATTTCTAGCAATTTGTTTTTTTTTTGTATCAAAATTTAAATTAGTATAAAAAATACAGCGAAAAATAACAGAAATATTAGAATCATCTATTTGTGTCGGAGGAAAAAATATTTTCAAGACAATTTTGTCCTTGTCTTCTGACTGTTAGAAATTTTGCTATTTTACAAGAAGAGAAATGAAGCTCTTTTTCTCTTTCCCTCGTCTCTGCAACCTCTAATACAATTTTCATACGCTGAACATTTTTTCCTCCAGATTGTGAGCAATTTCCATGAACACACTCACTTGTAACACTGCCACTGCCAACTACTGGTTGTGAGCAACTCCCACCTCCTATTCTAATATCTTTTCCTCCAGAAACTTTGTCACTGCCACCAATAGGTAGTGAAGAACTTCCACTGCCATTACCACCTGCTGGATGTGAGTTGCTCCCTGATGCTTCATGAGTCTATAACAAGTAAAGATACAATTTTAGCTAGAGCTCAAAAAAATAATGTAGTAAGATTTGGAATGATAAAACTTGAAATAATTGTGAGTAAAAGGAGATACTCAAATTAAGAGTAAAACCCCGTATATATAGACAAAATATAAAAATCATAATAAGGGTAAAAAAGGGAAAAGAAATCCTAAAGGGAAAAGAAATCCTAATAAACCTAGGAAAAAGAAATCCTAATAAACCTAGACTATCTATACTCCAACACTCCCCCTCAAGCTAGGCGCAAAAATGTCAACTAAGCCAAGCTTGACAACGGAGTCCCGAAGAATAGACAGAGTGACAGGTTTGGTAAAAACATCCGCAACTTGATCACTGGTCCCCACAAACGATGGAGTAACAAGACCACTGCTGACCTTCTCCCGAAGAAAGTGAACATCGATCTCTATATGCTTCGTTCTCTCATGTAGTACAGAGTCAGAAGCGAGCTGAATAGCAGATTGATTATCACAATATAATGTGGATGGAGAGGTCACTGAAAAAACCCAACTCGTCAAGAATCAATCGTAGCCAGATAATCTCACATGTGCCAAGTGCCAATGCCCGATACTCTGCCTCTGCGGACGAGCGGGAGACAACTGTCTGCTTCTTGCTCTTCCAAGAGATAAGATGAGTCCCTCGAAAAGCACAGAAACCCGTAGTAGATCGACCATCACATGCTCCCCCATAATCTGAATCTGAATAACAGGCTAGAGAATCGGTCTGAGATCCTGATGCATAAAACAACCCAAGTCCAGGACAAGACTTGAGGTACCGAAGAATATGATAAACTGCATCAAGATGAGGCTGACATGACCTATGCATGAACTGACTAACTCGGCTGACTGCGAATGAAATGTCCGGCCTAGTATTGGCTAAGTAGATAAGTCTACCTACCAATCTTTGATAAACTGTCGGATCTTTCAACTCCTCACCTTCAGCAGTAAGCTTCAGGTTTGGAATCATAGGTGATAATGCCGGTTTGCACCCCAACATCCCAGTGTCTGAAAGAAGATCCAAAACATACTTTCTCTGAGAAAGACAATACCTCTGCTTCTACTGGCAACCTCAATCCCAAGAAAGTATCGCAGAAATCCAAGATCCTTCACATCGAAGGCCTTCCAAGGTCTATCTTGACCTGCGCAGTCCCAGAAACATCATCACAAGTAATAATAATATCATCAACATATACCAGAAGGATGACACACTGTCCAGAAGTATTCTGTCGAATAAAGCAGGTATGATCAGAATGACACCTGGTGAACCCCAATCGTATGACTACATCACTGAAGCGAGTGAACCAGGCTCGTGACGACTGTTTCAGTCCATAAAGAGACTTACGCAGTCGACATACCTTTCTAGCATACTCCCCCTCACCACGAAAGCCCGGTGGTGCATCCATATAAATAATCTCGTCCAGATCACCGTGAAGAAATGCATTCTTCACATCTAATTGATGAAGAGGCCAAGAGTACTCCGCAGCCAGAGAAATAATTAACCGAACAGTAGTCAATTTTGCCACGGGGGCAAATGTAGCACCAAAATCATGACCTGGTACCTGAGTAAAGCCCTTCGCCACAAGTCTAGCCTTGTAACGATCAATAGTACCATCCGCAAGAAACTTCAGGGTGTAAACCCAGCGACAGCCAACAGGCTTCACCCCTGAAGGTAAGGAGACAAGATCCCATGTATGATTACGCTGAAGAGCGTCCATCTCTGTCTGCATGGTAAGAACCCACTGGGGCTCCCGCATAGCTTCCGAAATAGAGCGAGGAACCAGCGTATCTGATAAGGCCATAGTATAAGCTCGAAATGTGGGAGACAGATTACCATAAGAAACATAAGCAGAGATCGGATATAAAATCTTTGCGGTCCAACCATATCGATCAACTGGACGACGCTCATGCTGCTCAATCATCTCATACACCTCATAAAGAGAAGGCAGTGTCAACATCGACAAGATCTGAGAACGAGGTCCCTCAAACTCATTACGAAGCCCCATAAGGAACTTGTGAATCCTATCCTCCTGCTCTCGAGTATGCAAGAATGCTGCTCCCTCGGGCTCTATCTTCGGAATAGCAGCAAGAGGACGTAGAGACTCATACTCAAGCCAGCGCTGGGTCAAATAGCCATAATAATCCTGAACGGTCATATCTCCCTGCCGAGCATATGAGAGCTCCTGAGAAAGCTCATAAACACGAACTCCCCGTCCTGACTGAGAATACATCTCTGATAATGCGCTCCATAGCTTCGAAACAGAGCTATGAAACTGGTGGATCTTGCAAACAGAGGGCTCCATTGAGCCAAATAACCATCCAAGAATGACACAGTTTTTAGAGAACCATGCAGAATATCCAGGGTCGGCATCAGCTGGCTTTGGGTGAGATCCCGTCAGCCAACCAAGCTTCCCTACACGGCCTAAGAAAAGCTGGAATGAGCGTGACCACTCAGCGAAGTTACGACCATTCAACAATTGTGCCGTAACTTTTTGAGAGATCATGCCCGGTAATGCTGGTAATGCAACTGTGCTAGTAGGCACTGTATACTGGTCAAACATAAAAGTGGAAGTACCCATAGATGTCTCAACGGTAGAGGTGTCAACAGTAGGGTTCTCAAATCCCTCAGTAGTAGCCATATCAACAACAATACTAGGGCACCCGTGACAGAAAAATAACTCTAAGATAAATAGAGGAATAAAATAAGGGAGAACAATATACCTTCAGTCGAACAGTAGCGACAAATAGGGAAGGTCCAAAAAGCTCCCAAATAACTCTAAGATAAATAGAGGAATAAAATAAGGGAGAACAATATACCTTCAGTCGAACAGTAGCGACAAATAGGGAAGGTCCAAAAAGCTCCCAAATAATCAAGTCACGGTGCCCAGAAATCCAAAATATATAAATAAGTGATCTACTGCATCAAGGGCAGATCAACAGAAAAGAGGATTCGCTCCCTCCCAAAAAAGTCCTAGAATAAAATCACAACGAAAGTTGTGACCCAGCAGTGGGCTGGACAATGATCTAGCAGTAGGAGTGGTTTTATTGGGTTGGATCTATTATTATTATTATATGGAGAATGGGTAAAGGGCGCGAGACAAGATATATATGGTTATGGACTGGTTGAACTGGTATGGATTGAGGTTGTGGTGGACTGGTATGGACTGGTTTGTCTGGGATGCGGCTAGGGGCTGGTATAAGGATAGACAGTCAGTGTATGGACTGGTATGAGGATGAGCAGTCGGTGGAAGACTGTTTGTTGCCTGGGCAGCTGATGGCCAGGGTGGGTTTCGGCGGTATGGCTGGTAGAGCCATACACTAACCCTATCCCAAACCCTAACCTTGCTCTGATACCAACTTGAAATAATTGTGAGTAAAAGGAGATACTCAAATTAAGAGTAAAACCCCGTATATATAGGCAAAATATAAAAATCATAGTAAGGGTAAAAAAGGGAAAAGAAATCCTAAAGGGAAAAGAAATCCTAATAAACCTAGGAAAAAAGAAATCCTAATAAACCTAGACTATCTATACTCCAACAAAACACAAGTATGGTACCTTCGTTTTAAGTTTGCCTTTTCCAATTATGGATTTTTTTGACTGGTGCTTTACACGTTCTGGAATTGTGTCCATAACTGAGGCATTTCCTGCACATAAGAGAGTGTTGTCTCTTCCTTATCACATTGTCAAATAGTCCACCATGATAATTCTCCAGCGACAAGCAACTAGTGGCCATCTACAAAACATATAAACATAGGAATTTCTGTTAATGAGAACCCTTTACATTGATATTCACATGCATTGAACTATATATTGCCTCACATAGCAGCGACAACCCACTGACCCACATGATTTCCACAAAAATTTTACTTTTCTGTGCGTGCACGATCCTGCACAATATAAAAAATGGGAACAGATCTCTCCCCTGGTGAACTCGAGGCCCTGATAAAGGCGTGACGGTCCTGTAGGGATAACAGGAGTCCCTGGAACAAAGAAAAAGAAGTTAGAAGAGCGTCGGAGTGTTTTTCCGGCGTATCCCCTCCGACGGTCTAGTCAGTCTTTGAGTGAGAGAGAGGAAGAAGAAAGCACTTGAGAATAATGTATCTATTGTAGTAGAGAGTTTGTGATTGCATACCCGCTTAGCCTTTTGCAAGGAGTATTTATACCTTAAAAGCTCATGATTACTGTCAGTGTGGTCAGCAGATGATCATTGGGCATAGGTTGCGTGTGCATTGATTCTGATGAGGAATGTCTTCTCTAATTAACTGCTCGGGGTCCCGAGCAACCAATGCTGAGTCGTCGGGATGCCGACGGTACAATGTGCTCCTCTCGGGGAGGGCGCAATAAATGCTCGGCAATAGGAGCATTTATTGCCTTTCATTTCCGAGCCTTACCGCATTGAATGCGGTCTCATCAACGGAAGGGTGCAATTAATAGTTTGCTTTCTCAAGCCGCGTGTCAGCAACGACATGTGGTTTGTCTGTCTTTGATATGACATCATTCGCCACGCGTCCATCCCCTATTGGCTATGACCTCTGTGTTCCAGTCTGTTCTGACATTACTTGTGTAAGACGAGGTCATGATGAATAGTCTAGATTGGCATAGGCTGATGACCCGTACGTCAGTAGCTTTATCCTGGAGTAGAGGAAGCGTCCAGGACGGAGTGACTCTCGGCACCGAGGAAAGGCTCACCTCGGGGACCGAGGGTGGTATATTTTCGAGGTACATGTGTGACCGAGGACACGTGTTGTTATATAATACACCGAATGCATGATCCTATATGAGAGGTACCTCGGGGGAGAGGACACTTGTTGCCGATGGTGCTTAAATCCGAGCAACATTGTTCCAGCAATCCCGAGGACACGTGTCTTCATCATAGGACTTTTCAGAAGAGTCCCATCAACTGCCCCCCAGCCTTCGATCTTCTGACACCGAGGACACGCGTTGTAAGGAGACGAAGGGTTTCCCAACTGCCATCCGTCCTTCATTATGGCCTCGAGCCGCTTTCCCGGCTTGGGATGTCGTGCGCATTAAATGTGCCGTTTCGGTTCTCCCGCCCAATGATGAAAATTTCCCCCTATATAAAGAGGGTTCTTCTCTGGTTTCCATCGTTTTGCCATTTCGATCTCTTATCCAGAGTACGCCTTTCTTGATTTTTCGCCGGAGTTCTTGTTTCTTCTGCCATCGTCGACTGCCCTTTCTCTCAAAATCACAGAGCAGCAAATCCATTGTTGATTCCTGGACTTTTTGGTGGGAGTCGTTTTAAAGTTTTTCCTGAAAAACTCCATTTTTGACGTTCGGGTGAGTTTCACAACCTTCTTCTTCCTCTCTCTCACTCAAAGACTGATTAGACCGTCGGAGGGGATACGCCGAAAAACACTCCGGCGCCCTTCTAACTTCTTTTTCTTTGTTCCAGGGACTCCTTTTATCCCTACAGGACCGTCACGCCTTTATCAGGGCCTTGAGTTCACCAAGGGAGAGATCTGTTCCCATTTTTTATATTGTGCAGGATCGTGCACGCACAATTTCAATAAACTAATACAGCAAAAGGTGACAAAAAAAATCTATGATTCATCCATTATAGCAAACAAAATACACCTCATGTGTGGACCCATCATGCACAGATGTGAACCCAAGCGACAAAAACCCCATGGACAAAAAAATTGCATCATAACTTACCTATGACGTTGATCGCAGCTACTCAGGACTTCAATTGGCCTTGTATATATATTCTGTACCTCAATTGAATACTTCAAGCATTTGAGGACTTCAACCATTTCAAGCCTTCAAGCATCGCAGATACTGGTGTGGGGGTGGTTTGAGAGAGTGGATAAATGTTTTTACATCAAGCAAAAAAATCTAACTATGGTTAATGTCTTAGCGCCATTTCGTTACCATGGTTGAAGGGTTTTTTGGGAAATTCCTCTATTTGACGACCCTCGGCCTACTTTTTCATTTTGATACAAGAAGGAGACAAATTTCTGAAAATGAAACCACCTGGAGTTGATTGCTACATAGGGTATAGTTGGAGGAGGCAAATTACAATTAAACCTTTTTAACTTTTTTGATAAAAGTCATCAAGCGATATACCTTTCGTTCCTAACAGTCACAGCCGTTGGTCAATTATAAATTCTCCTATAAAAAGGTTTGAACTGAAGGCATCAATAATCTAAGTCTCAGTCCCGAGTGAAGTAACTCTCTCTCTCTCTATGCGTGTATGCATATATATGAGTAATTGTGTGTCCAAGAATGAAGCAAATCTCTCTGTCTATCACACACACACACATACACAGTTTCTCTAGACTTTGTTGTGTTGTAGTAATAATAGTATATTCTCTCTCTAGCTATTTCAATTTCACCTACACAACGGAAAAGAAGTCTCTGAGGTTTCTCTCGCCCAAACCCCAGTCGTGCACTGCACGCTACTGTTATGGGGCTTTGGAGTCACTGTGCCGTCTATCCATTAACGGAGTTTTAAGCCCAAATATGCTGATTATATATGTTTTCATCATCTTCTTCTTCATCATCATACTGACAAATTGACTTTATTGATCCATCTTCTTTTGTCCAGAATTTGAAGCAAATGGAACCCGAATTACTATGCCTTAGAAAAAGGCTCACCAATTCCGATGTTCAACGTAACTTAGAGATACCAAACGGGGCGCCTTTTCTGCCAGCCCGGAATGAAGTCATGCTTGTACGTGACAAGGAGGGAAACATTTTTCAATTTAGAGCTAAGGTGAGGCGAGGAGGTAGGCGTTCTCTGACATACCAGTGGCGTCGTTTCGCAGTGGACAAGAGCCTTAAAGTCGGTGAATATCTCAGAATTTCTCGCTCAGGGAATGGAAATGAATATGTCGTGGAGGTGGGCTTGGAACTCTTTCCACCCCACATAGGTTGGGAAGTACTGTAAGTGGAAAGAAGAGTACTATTAAAAATTATGTAAATTTTAAGGTTAGTCTTGAAGGGTTACTGACTCACTCTACCCATAATCAATTATGGATCAAATACTGCCTTGGCTATGTATATGTCTAATCGTTCATCTGCTTATGGCAGCTGAGGTCGCAGGAGAATAAACATTGAAAAGATCCACTTGGACTTAAATGATGATTTTTGTTTTACAAATGTTTTAGATAATTATTATTTGTGTTGTTGATTGTCAAGATATATACAAAGGTGCACTTTTGTGCACGAAGAGTCTATATATATTTATATATATAATTTTTTGATTTAATGATGTGATTTTATTAGAATTATTGGATTAATATTAAATCTCAATGTTTGATAGACCTACTGTCAATCTAAAAGTTATAATTAATTAGATTAATAAATTAAGTCTCAATAACATTGTTCGTTTGTATATAGAAAGAATGTTGTTTTACTAGTGTAAAAATCATTTAGCCATTTATGAGGCACAAGACCAGAAAATTTTGGGTAATATATATGAGCAATGCTATTAGATCTAATTTAATGACATAATTTACTGATTTAATTTATCGTAACTTTTGGATTCCATGTAAATCCCATCAAACATTAAAATTTGGTGTTGATCTAATAATTTATGTGAAGCCACATCATTATGTTAATAAATTAAATTAAAATTTTAAATTCAAATAATATTACTCAATATATACATATATTATATACTGCGAGTACAGACTTTTTAAAAAAAAAAAAAGATGCAGACTTTTTCATCACCTCGAATGGAAGCTATAGTTTGAACCATCAAGAGTCGTTAAGTTCATTGAAAGACTTTTTCACCCACGAAGCCTAGAAAGTAAATAAGTATATTTGGAGTGAACAAGTCTTCGAAAAACTTACATTGAGCTTGGATTCTTTTACAAGTAAAGGTGCTTTACACGTGTAAGAACAAGGAAAGAGAAGACTTTTGTGAGTTTCTTTCTCTACATTTCTCTCTCTCTCTCTCTCCAAAAAAATCCACTGAAATTCATGGGACTTGGAAAAAAAATCAGAGAAGCTTTCTGGGTCAAATGAGCTCCACATAGATTCCCTTAACTATTGAAAATCTCAGTCGCCGTCTCATCAATTCATTCCTCATGCTTGCTAATGAGGATGCCAGCTAACAACGCCGTCTCATCAATTCATTCTTCATTCCTCATGCTTGCTAATGAGGATGGTTGTCAATGTCATCAAGCTTTTTTTTGATAAACATCAAAGCTATGGCTGTCATTTTGTGTCATTTTGTGACTTCAATGCAGGATAACAGGAAAATGAGAGCCAGCAAGTCCATAAACCATAAACCATAAAGCAAAAGTATTTGGGTGGCCGAAAATGGGTGGCCGAAAATGTGAGTTCACTCCACGTTTGTAAGAAGGAGAAAAAACGTTTGCTTTAGTACGGACTGTACCCGAAAGAAGAGGTAGAAAATAATGAGACAAATTTGACCGACACAAGGTCGGTGTACTGCTACCAGTGATTTGTAAGGAACCGTCTTCTTACCCATTTGAAGTTGGAAAAGCTCTAGGCAAGGCAGATCTTTCAGGTGCATGGAACAAACTAAGACACTTTTCAAAATCAGTTGTTTATTTTTTTTTCACTTGGAAAGATGGTTTGATTTCTAAAAGAATAATAATAAAAATTGATAGTTTAGGATCGATCATAAATGATCTCATTTTATCATAATTTCGTCCCGTTAATCCTAAACTCATTTTTCTTTTGTAATAATTGTTAATATAGTATAAAAAAATGATATTTTGGTACCGTTATATTTTCCTATAAATAAATCAAAAAGACTACGGCACCGAAATTATACCAAAATAATTTATAATTTTTTGTAGTTAAGTTATAATTTTTAAATGGGAAGTAATAACTAATCAAGAGTAATTATGATTAATCATAACATTTCATGGTTGATTGTGATGAGCTCGAATTCGACTTAGTCAGACCCAATTAATTAAGTAAGCCCAAATTAACTACAAGACATGTCAAACGCAGTTTATGAATTCAGTCTAGACCAAAGTTCAAGAGATACAGGAATATTAGCACACGTGGGAAATAATTATCGGGATACTATTCTCGAAGATCAAGACTATCTCTGATTGTACGTATCTTAGTTATACTTATCCACCCCGAAGAACTAATGACTTATCTATTACGTCATTGTCTCAACCAAGGCTCTGTGTCTATATTGTAAGCCCTCTTCACATGAGAGGACCATTTTTCTACACACCTTAGACACACTTCTGCATCTCTTTTTACACACTCTCACACAAGTTATCTCTCTCATAGATACCTAACCTCTTCTAGAACTTACCCTTGCTCTCTCCTCCATTACCTACTGTATTAATAAAGATATCTGGCCATCGTAACCGTGTTCAAAGTAGAGTAAGTCACCTTGACCGAACTATTGTACATATTTATATTGACCTAATCTCTGTCTTTTTTATTAATTTTTTTATTGATTGCCACATTAATTACTCAGTATTATACATTCGACTGTTGATTATGCATAAATCTATTTTATGCATTATCATATTATAATATTTCATAATTGATCGTAAAATTATCTCTAAAATTAATAATTTTTTTTGAGGTATCGATTTTTTTTAGGATACTATAGAATAGATACATAGATGAAGAGAAAGAAACTAGTTCAGTATTCTTACCATACTGTAGAATTAGTGAGTTGTTGTGATATGACATATGTGTTTAGAAAATTCCTTTCGGTCATAACAATAACAGCCGTCGGTCAGTTGTAAATTCTCCTATAAAAAGGGTTCAACAGGAAGCAGCTGACCCAACTCAAAAGAATAGAATTGGACAGAACATTTCCACTCCCTAGCTATTTCAATTTCACCTACCCAACAGAAATGAAGTATTTGAGGTTTCTCCTGCATCGTGCTGTGGCTGAAAATTTTCCTATTTCTTTTTATTTGAGGACCGTGCCTGAAGTCAATTTGCAACCTAAAAAAACCTTTCAATTTAAAATAATTTTTTCTTCATTTATTGTAATTAAAAAAATTGAAATCAATCTAACTCCATTGCTAATTTTACAAAAAATTTCAATTGTAAGAACCCAGATAAATGACAACCTGTCTATTGCCCAATAGGGGTGTCAATTTTTGATTTGAACACGAACACGAACCCGACTCGAATCGAACCCGACACGAACTAAAAAATAACACGATTTGTTGACACGAGAAATAAATGAGTCAAATTAAGGTTCAACACGAATAACACGATTAATGAGTACTGTGGATAGAAAATAATTATTTAATGAGTATTTTAGATATAAAATAAGAATTTTATAATTTTTTATATTAGTTATTGTCAAATTAAATAATTTTTTATTGATACGAACCCGACACGTACCGAAAGTGATACGACACGAAAATAACACAATCGAAAGTGACGATATGACACGATTGACACCCTATTGCCCAACACAAACCATTTTGTAGTCAATCTCATAGAATAAATTATACAACCTGACTCGAAGATAACATTATATTTTAGTCACTACATACGCAAATCTAAACTAAAATTCATTGTCGCATGTTATACACGCAAGTCCAACAAAAGAACTCAAATTTATAGTCATATATAACGATTATCATTGTTCACAGTTACAATCCACAATCATATATAATAGAGCATGTAACAATAAGCTATGCACCCACATAGTGAACTAAAACACAAAACGATGAAAATTATTCGTAACACGAAAAACTATAAAACTATCAATTCCAGACTAGAAACCTCCAAATTTGCAACATAACAAAAAAATTGCACCAAGACAAATGAAATCTTGGAAAACTTGAAACCTTAAGATTAGAAAAGCAAAAGACACCGTGAAAAAATTTAGCCACCAGAGTGGAAGCACAATATTGAAAAAAAAAGAAAAGAAAAGAAAAGAAAAAGAAGAGATCAAATGCTCCAAGCAAGAATTAAATCTACATAAACTCATGTTTCGGTATTTACAACATACCAACCCCGTCAAAAGCTAAGCAATAGACCCAAGTCTGCACAACTGAAATTATAACAACAACACTTTTTGGATAAAAAATTGAGGACTTCTCAACAATGAAATAACAGGCAACTGCAACTAGTTTATCAAAAAAATAATTACCTCTACAGTTGAAACAACAACAAAAAATACCTTTTGCATCAATAACATGAAAATAAGCAAAAAATTAAAAAATAAGAAAAATAAGAGCTGCAATAACCTAGATTATTAATTAGGTTAGTAGTATTTTTGGTCTCTAAAATATGTATTTTTTGTCAGTTTAGTCATAATTGTATTAATTTTGTCAATTTTGTCCTTAAAGTATTTAATCTGTGTCACTTTGGTTCTTAATCAGACAATCCGTTAAGTTTTTTGACAGAAGTAATCATGTCATTTTTTAGATGATATCACATGCCCAACACGTGATCATTCCTTCAAAAATTTAACAGTCTGTTTATATAGGGATTAAAATGACATGAATTGAATACTTTAGGGACTAAATTGACAAAATTGATATAATGAGGATTAAACTGACAAAAAATACATACTTTAGGGACTAAAAATACTATCTACCCTTATTAATTTTTAAGAATATTGCCTCTAAAAACTAAAACCAACAAAAAAGATTATTTTTGAGCTTACCTATAAAACTAAAATATGAGATGCAATAGAATAAAGAAATCATTGTATATTTACCATCGTCTCTATATTTGGAACAAAAGAATGAGATTGACATGAAATAATGAGCTTGAACATAGAAATCAACAGATATAGTGGAACAAATTATGCAAACCATCAAACAATTAGGGTTTGATTATGTATTTTCTAGTCAAAGATTGTGTATTTTCTTGTTAAAGATTGTGTATTTTATTTGAAGCAAACCATCAAATAGGTGGTATGTGTTGAGTGGATGAAAGGCGTGGAGGCAGAGGAGGAAGGGGTTGTGGTGGTGGATGTGGTTTGATAGGGCTGTGCTATTGGAAAAACATGTATATAAATAAAAAACGACCCATCCAAATCACTTTGTACTTTCTAGCTTATTTATTGAAATAGCTTTTTACAACCTGCAACTTTATAAAAGTACATCAACAACCCATAAGAGGAGAAAACAAATGAAAAATCAAATGGGCACACTAAGATGTCTCACAATCCCCCATAACTCATATATTCTCCTCCCCAATTTCATTATGTATCAAAATCCACATGCATTATAGGCCAACACCCTAAAAAAGTTAGTCTTCCAAAAAGAACACATGGCATAAACAACCCCCACCTTCGATGCTTTAACCTTATATCCCCCTCTGACTTCTAATTGAATCTTTTGACACCCAAAAAGCCCATAAAAAATGGAGATGACATTGGGGACTTCCATCAAACAGGTGGTGTTTAGTATCGAACAACAGTGGGTGTGGGGGTGTGCGCGAGAGAAAGGGGATGGGTCTCTGACATACTGCTAGGTGTGAGAGTGTGTGTGAAAAAAAGAAGAAGAAGAAGGAATTGGGGAGGGGTTTGTGCACAGAGGGTGTGTGTGTTTTGGGGGGGGGGGGGGGGGGGGGGGTTGTGCCAGAGATGGAGGTGTGTGTTCTGTTAGGGTGTAATATAGTTTAACACAAATGAACTAAACACTACAATTATTATCCAAAAATCACAAATTAGGATGTAATGTCTTCAAATGCAACACTTTTTGTGGAGAAATAAAAGTTGATGGCAATGTTGAGGCAAACCCTATCATTTCAAACAAAGTGTACATATACCATCACCAATACACAAATAAAATAACGTACCCGTTAAAGGTGTGAGTTCAAAAATGAATCTAATCAATTTTAGAACCAACCCATAAAAATAGTTCAAACGGTTGGCCAACAATTGGCCAAAGATCATAAAAGTGTGGATGGATGGCCGATGACTAGACCGGACGAGCAAAACATCAACACTGTCAACTGATGACGAAACCAACCGAGCAAAATTGTTGAATGGTCGGCCGGGGGATGGGTCGGAGTTCGTTTCCTTCTCTAAAATATTGTTATTATTTAGTATGTAACAAAATAAATACTCATTCTGTCACTTTTTGAACTAAACTATATAAAACTTATATGACTTCCTAGTCCCAGTCACACAACAACACATGCATAATAAACACATCAACTAAGTCAATTTCTACTTCCAACCAAGAAATCGATGAAAAACACATATATAGAGATTTAGAACTTACCTTAGGCTTTTTGAACATACCAAGCTCACTGTTTAGAGGAATTTTGATTGACCCTTTCTTTTATTGTGCAATAATCTTAGACAATTACGCTAAAGAAGAACAAATGTAAATTTCATACTCGACTAAACTAAATAATTGAAGCAATCACTCGGCACCAAAATGCAACATTCAAAAAGATGAAATTTGAAATGAATAATTAATTGAAGAATTAAGTACCAATCGGAATATTATTGCAGCCAAATATTGAGAAAATCCTTGTGTTTACTCCTTTGATGTTCAATGCCTTAAACTAAACCTAAAATCAACAAAAATAGAAAAAATAAAATAAAAAATGAAGTCAAAAATAAGTGAATTCCATTTACAAAATGTTGACGCAACCACGTAGCCTGAATTTAAAAACTCTAAATTCCAACCCCACAAAAATTAATCACCAAAACACCATACTATAAAGTTTTATGAAATAAATTCTTTTGTTTACCGTTTCGACTATGATATAGGAGGTTTCACTCATATCTTTCATCTTAAAGTTTTATGAAAGAAATTCTTTAGTTTTATACAACAAATCCAAATCATTGGCTGCAAGTAGAATGTCATCGACATATAGGACTAATAAAATGTATTTACTCCCACTAACCTTAAGGTATATGCAATTATCCACAACATTCTCCTCAAAACCATGAGGTAATAACATTATGAAACTTAAGTTATCACTGGCGGGAGGCCTTAGTCCATATTTGAATTTCTTTAGCTTGCAAACTAGGTGACTATTCTCATCAGAACAAAATCCTTTAAGCTGCTTCATATATACTTCTTTGTCAAGATCTTCATTTAAAAAAATTGTTTTCCCATCCATTTGATGTTGCTCTAAATCAAAATAAACTACTAATGCCTTGATAATCCTAAATGAGTCCTTTTTAGAAACTAGATAGAATGTGTTGTGATAGTAAATGCCTTCTCTTTAAGTGAAGCCCTTAACTACAAAGTCTGGCCTTATATCGATCGACATTATTATTTGAGTATGTCATGGTCTTATAGACCTACTTATAGCCAACGGCCTTGACTCTCTTAGGTAAATCAACAATTTTCTAAACTTGATTTTTAACTATGGATTCCATCTTTTCTTTCATGACATCACACCAAAATGTGAAATTTTCTCCACTTATGGCATGTGAAAACGAGATAGGATCATCCTTATGTCCAACATCAAAGTCAAACTCCAACAAGTACACGAAGTAATTATCAGAAATAGCGGGCCTTCTTACCCTTGAGGGTCTTCTTAATTTTGTAGTCTCATCCATGTTTTGTGGGTTTGGAGCTGTATACTCTATGTTGACTTGTTCCTCTTGTGGTGGTGGTATTTAATATCATCTGGATTATCTTGAATGACAATCATCTTATCTTTATTCACGAGTATGATATCCAAATTCTTTGATTCCTCCCACTAAATCTTTCGAGGAATACTCCCACTAATGTCAACACCCTCAATAAATTTGACATTTTTGGCCTCAACAATTTTAGGTTTGTGTAAAAGACAATAAAATTTATAACATTTAGACTTTTCTGTATAACCAATGAAATATCCACTTATTGTTCTTGGGCCCAATTTCTTTAATTGTGGATTGTAAACCTTAACCTCAACTGGACAGCCCCATATGTGAAAATGTCCTAAACTAGGTTTCGATCTTTTCCATAACTTAAATGGAGTTTTGGAAACAACTTTAGTAGGAACCCTATTTAAGATATACACTATAGTCTTCAAGGCTTCATTCCACAAAAACAAAGGAAAATTAGAGTTGCTTAACATAATCCTTATCACGTTTATAAGGGTGCGATTTCAACTTTCAGCCACACCATTTTGGTAAGGTGAACCTGACATAGTATACTAAGCAATAATACCTTCATCCTTTGAAAATTTAGCAAATGAATCAGGCATTTGCCCCAAATCTATGTACCTTCCATAATATTCTGCACTCCTATTAAATCATAAAATTTTAATTTTCCTTTTCCAATTTTTTCTCTACTTCCTGTTTGATTGTTTTAAAAACACCCAATGCCTTGGATTTAGAGATACATAAATCATGTATGGTCATCAACGAATAAGATAAAATATCTCTGACCATTTAAGCAAGGGGTAGGGAATGGTCCATAGATATCAGTGTGTATGATTCTAAGTATTTCTTTACTCCTCTTGGCACCTTTACTTGCCTTGTTGCTTTGCTTTCCCTTTATACAAACCACACAAGTACCAAAATAAGAAAAATCAAGAGCCTTTAAGACTTCATCATTAACCAATCTTTTAATTCTTTCCATGGACATATGTCCTAATCTCCTATGCCATAACATAAAGGAATTATCATCAATAATAGTCTATTTAGTGCCAATATCATCATACAAGGTTAGAAGACTATGTTCAAAAATAGGATCCAAATTTAATTAGTACAAACCATTAACTAAGGTTCCACAACCAACCAAACCAGAATTTTTTAACAAACGAAAGTCTGAACTAACAAAGCTGAATTCAAATCGTAAAAGTACAAGTTTAGAAACATAAATTTAGTACTTAGAAAACAAAGGAACATAAAGAGTGTTATCAAGATCCAAAACAAGGCTAGATTCTAAAACAAGTCTGAAGGTTCCAACAACCTCGACATGCAAACACATCCCATCTCCTGAATTCACTTCCCATCATTTTCCTTAGGATGAGAAAGCCCTGCATGATATTGGCAATGTGAATTGTAGCACCTGAATCAGTCCACCAAGTATTATGATGAGAATCAATTAAATTAGATTCATAACACACAAAAGATATGAGATTACGTTTCTTCTCAAGTCACTTCTTGTATTTCAGGCAATCTTTCTTGATGTGTCCCTTTGTCTTGCAGAAGAAGCATGCATCCTTACAACCATGTTTATTGAATGATGCTTTGCCATCCTTCTTCCATTTAGGAATGTCTTTGCCTTTCTTTCCTTGTCCACCATTATGAATGACCAAATGGGCACTCTCAAGATTTTCATACTTAAGTCTCTCATCTTCTAGAATACACATGGTAAGAATTTCATTAATGGACCATTTTTCTTTATGTGTATTGTAAGAGATCTTGAATGGTCCAAATTATGCAGGGAGAAAGTTAAGTACGAACTAAACAAGGAATGACTTAGAGATCTAAACGTCAAGGGACTTAAGTTGAGCTGCAATATTCCGCATTTTCATAATATGTTCACACATACTCCTAGATTTGTAATGCTTCACGCCTGATAACTTGTTCATCAGGGTACTGGCCAATGCTTTATCAGAACTGACAAATTAATCTTCAATGACCTTCATGTAGTCCTTCATTTCATCACATTATAGAATAGAACCTCTAATCCTCTTGCTCACATGTGACTTAATGAGCATCAAACTTAGGCGATTAGATCGCTCTCACCGCTCATATGCACTCTTTTTAGTCAATGAATTTAACTCGGTGGTATTGGAGGTTCTTCAATGCGAAGTGCCAAATCTAAAATATCAAGAGAATTTTGTTTATCCAATCCAAAAAATTTCTACCACTCAACGATGGAATGTTGGAAGACTCAATATTAAGTAAAGAGGTAACAACAACTTCAATAACCAAGAATACAATTAGCGTTTTGAAACAATAACTGTAACCTGAATCGACTTATGTCAAGTTCAACAAAGCAAAAATCTAAACCTTTCTCTGGGTAGAGGTCATGAACTGTATAAGATTTGCTTATTATTCTTTACAATAAGA